ACTGCAAGAGAAACTACCAACAGAGCTAAGAGACAACCTACAATGTGTGAAGAAATATTTAGCAGCTGTAGCTCAAATTGTAATTTCTGAACTTCACATATTTGTCAAAATTAAGCAGTTTATTACAAATTATTCTATTAAATCTTTCAATGTTCAACATGTAATTCTCTCAATAATTTAATTTTTATAGCTTTCATAAGACTGAAAATGATAGTTGGTAGATTATAACAAACACACAAAAAGTAAACCTTATCCTACTGAACTTTTAAAATGTGATGTAAATTATCAATTATTTTTTTGGTATGGGAAAATTGAAAATACAAAAAATAATAATACACTGTAATACACTGGTGTTCATTCTAGCAACTTCACTAGATAAACCATAAACATAATCAAATGTAATAATGATTCAAGAGAAAAAACTCATCCAACAATATATGACATAATTTGGCATACTAAATTTTAATTTTTCATTTGAAACAAATTAAATACAAAGAAATAACAGGGAATTAATAAAAAATCATCAAACAATTAAAATTATTTCTAACATTTCTACTAAAATCTATTTTAATTCTAAAATTACTGGTCAGTTTAAAGTAAAACAGATTTGAAAAGTAATAAAACAACAAAGATAGAGTTTGTATTTTCTCCATACGTATTTTTGTTTGTCCCTTTTCATTGAAAACTAACACAGTCATTTACACTTGCTGTCAATTCACTTTCTTCCGTGTTTTTTTAAGACCATGTCAATCCAACTAGTACACACAACTTGCTTCCTTGAAGGTCACCAATGACCTTCTAATTGCTGATTATATGTGTTTGATTATAAATTCTAATTTCAATATAAAAGGATGGCACTTTTTGATTTACCGTTTCACTTGACTTCTAGGATACTATGCACTTTTGGTGATTTTTGCTATTTCACTGGCTGCTGCTTCTCAGTTTTACATATTACCTTTTCACCTTTTTCAAATTTCTTTGCAGTGAAATATTCTGGGGTCAGTTCTTGTACTTTGACTCACCTCTATCTTCCCTCAGCCCCTGGCAGCCTTCTTCAGTTGCATACCATTAAATAAACTTCTGTCCTCATAAATCCAAAATTTGTACATCCAGCTTAGACCCTTTGCTGAACTACAGATGTCCACGATAACTCCTTATTTGACATTTGCTTGTCATCTCCTAATGGACATTTAGCAGACTAAAAATTTATATGGCCAAAATAGAAATTTGAATCTTTCCTATTCTTCTCCACGGAAATGTTCCCATCTAAGCTGATGGCAACTTCACAATTCCAGCTGCACAAGCCAACTTTGAAGGCAACCTTGACTCCACATTCAATTTGGCAGGAACATCTCTTTCTTCAAAATTTAGTACATTCAGATGCAAGCAATCTATATTGCTTATACTTCTGTCTGAGCCACCATTCATTTTTATTTTTGAGATCTTCCATCCCATAAGCTCAACCTCACTCTATATAGTTTGTTCTCAAAATAGCAGCCAGAGTTTCATAAATGAAAGTTGCATCATAATTCTCCTATGTTCAAAACCCTGAATTGGTTCTGGATTTAGAGTTAATGTCTTACAAAAGCCTATAGTGCTCCTCATAATATAGTTGCTCTTTTGCTTATTGTTCTTGTTGCCTACCATTTTCTCCTTCATTCATTTTACTCCAGCCATACTGATCCCTTTTACTATTAAGTGACCCAAGTTGTATTTATTTTCAGACTCCCCTTAGCATAGGAAATGTTTTTCTTCTGACCAATCCATTCAAGTTCCTCACACATTTGCTCCTTTCATATCATTGCAACAAGATTTTTAGTTTTTACAATATTTAACACATTTTCAATTTATTTCCTTCTAGTTTCCATCCAGTCATCCTACGGGCTGTGAAAAACCAGACATGAGCTCTTCAAACAAATTCACTTCCTGCCTGGCAGAGGTTAACTTTTGTCAGGATCAAGTGTCTACTCTTGTAGGGTGGAAATTCTCCACTGTCAGACTCCTGCACTGAGGCCTCCAGCCCTGAGGTCCTGCCCAGCCGTGTCTCAGCAGTTCATAGAGGAGCTTCTCCTGCGCTCACTTCTAGGAAACTTATCCTCTGAGAATCTTTTCCTGACACCATGAGGCTGCATTCCGGTAATTTCCACCATAGCAGAACCTCACAGACTGCTCTGCCATTTTGTGCATCATTGCCACAGCCTCCCATGCAACATCCACATTACCATGTTATTCTCTAAAATATGCATTTGTGATGATTGTTAGAGTATTTTAAGTTAGAAAATTCGGTATTTGTGATAAGAAATTAATATTGAATATTTTAAAATATAGCTGGGATAAACATTTATGTCTAGACATGTGCTTTTGCAAATAACTTACACATTTGCATTAAACAGAGTCAGTACTTTCTTATGCTTACTACCTTATGGTCAGAAAATCTGATATTTTGAAATTCAAAATGTAAGATTCAAAATGTAGGTTGGATTTTCATAGTTTATTTCTTTTTATTCACCAAATAAGTGACAGATTAACTGGTTTCATGTCCAAATACCAATTCATGAAAATATATACTAGTTTAGCAAAGATATATAGATTTATCAAAGAAAATTACTTTTTATATCATTCAAACAGGAAATTAAACACAGATTTTTTTCAAAGCTGTAGAAATGAAAAAAAAATCTGGGAGAATAAAGAAAAAGGAGAGAAAGAATGGGAAGGAGGTATCAGGAGCAAAGAAGGGGGGAAGATGAGAGAGAGAGAGAGAGAGAGAGAGAGAGAGAGAGAGAGAGCACTACTGCAGAGACACATACACCAAGTATGCTTTGTTCCTTGTGATTCTCTTATTCAGTCAGTTCTTTCACAACCCATGGCCCAGGGCTGAGAACTAGATTTTTGCTGTTATGTTCAAAACCAGTAGCCTGATACTGGCAATGTATTGTGTGCTGGAAATACATTCAAATGATAATAAAACAACAGTATTGAAGATACTCCAACTCATATTCATTTGACAATAAGGAAATATAGTACACTTTGATTTTAGCTGCTCTCAGACACTTAAATGCTCTGTTCACACATATTTATTCTGAATATATTTTCTGTAAAATTTGTAATGATGTCACTAGCCAGTCAGCAACTTGGAAAACAGGAAACCATTTTTAGTAAATTCAGAATCTTTCATGTTTGAAATGCTGTCCCTAAAAATATAGTTATACTCCAGGCTGATTTATAGTGGTGCTGTTGGTTATTTACTGTATGATCATGAAATAACTCTATTGTAACTTTGTGATTTACCAAGTGCTTTATGTAAACTTCTGAAAGGTGATTTAACATAGCTCTCTAAATAATTCTTTTCCTCTCCATACCTCCTGATGCTGACTCTGATTTATGATGTCAGACTGAAGATGAGATGCTTCCATATAAAAAATATCTTTTATGAGTAGGTATTTTCAACAGCAGCAATGTTAGTAACTGAAATGAGAATTCAAGAGCTAAACTTCCAGCAGGCATGATTAGAGACTGTATGTGGAAGTACTGGTCTCCATGGCTGTCAAAATGTCATGCAATACCACAACCAAAGCCACTTTTAAAGTTTACTAAACTTCACTTCATCTTTAGAGCTTGCACAAAATTTGGAAGGAAGAAATGGGTTTATGGAAGTGACAAATCAAGTTGATGTTTTCGTTTTCTCCTCTTCATCATACAGTAAATTATCATTTCATTTACTTGTGATCATACAAGTAAATTTCTTAGATTTGGAAGAACAGATTTTTTTTAATGTACATGATGGTTAAATTTAAGTGTCAACCTAATGTAATAAAGAATGCTCAGATAGCTAGAAAAATATCATTTCTAGGAATGTCCAAAATAATGTTTCGAGAAGAAATAAACATTTGAGTTCATAGACTGAAAGACTGTACTTACCCATGGGATGGGCATCATCCTATTCATTGAGGACTCTAATTGGATGCAGAGATAGAAGAAGGGTGAATTAGCTTTTTGCTTAAACTAGGCCGACTGTCTCAGCCTGCTCTTGCACATTTGGCCCTTCTTGGTCTCAGGCCTTTGGGCATGGACTAGAACTCTAGCACCTATTTTCCTGGGAAGCAGTTTACAGATAGCAGATGGTGGGAGCTCTTAGCCTTCACAATGAAGTAATCCAGTTCTTGTAATACCTCTCTTTCTGGGTATAGTTACGCTTCACTTAAAAGCAGGGGTGTGTTATGAGAAATGCTTTGCTGGGCAATGTTACATTTACATTTAGTATATATACCAAGACAACAGGCAATATAATCTTGGGGGATCACCACTTTATATGCACTCCATCATTGACTGAAATGTTATGCTACACTTATTTTTACATATGCATTTGTTCTGCTTATTTGGAGAAAACTAATACATTGTGATTGATATATTTTATTTGATATTTTAGGAAACTCATGGTAAATCAAGTTAGTTATCCAACTAGCATATCTAGCATCAAAATTTTGAATGTCCATACTGGTATTGCTAAATAATAGTTCTCTACTCAGTTAGTGTGATCAATCCAAGCAGGTAACAGAATAGGATTGAGCGATATCCTATTAGTAATTGACAAAAATGCAGCTGTCAAATTAAATATGTGACATTAGCTGTTGATCATTGTATTTACTCATCTCAAGAAAATCATACCAGATTGAATCTACTCTTTTTATATATTTTAAAACATGACCCAAATCATTTAATTTGTATACATAGATGAAAATTTAATCATGATAAAGATAACCATTCATCTCCATTGTTTTGGTTGTTTAAACCCATGGGTCAATAAGTGGCTTCTGAGAGTCACTCAATTATTTACATTTGGAACCAGAAACCTGGATATGAGTCCACATGAAAGCTGAAGACTAATTTATTTTTGTGTGTATCTGCCACCCATGCCTCTTAAAATGTATGTACCTTATCGTTTAACTCAATAGAAAGACCCAGTAAGAGTATATCTTGGATTTACTCTAGTCACATGTTTTCAGATGCAGATTACCTGATCTTGTTAATGAATCATATAGCCCAGGGGTCTCCAACCCCTAGGGTCATAGACCAGTAGCACTCTGTGGCCTGTTAGGAACTGGGCCACACAGAAGGAGGCAGGTGAACTTTGTCTTCATTGACAGCTGCTCCACAATACACACATTACAACCTGAGCTCCATCTCCTCTCAGACTATGGGTGCCCTTAGGTTCTCATAAAAACCTGAACCCTACTGTGAACTGCACACTCAGGATATACAGTCCCAGCTACTTATGAGAATCAAATGCCCAATGATCAGAGGAGGAGCTGAGGCAGTGATGCTAGTCCTGGGGAATATAATTATTATAAATTGCAAACATACATTAATAAAAACAGAAATCAAACATCATCCCTGTTCTCTTATCAGTGGAAAAAATGTCTTCTATGAAACCAGTACTTGTTGCCAAAAAAAATTGGGGATTGAGGGTACAGCCCATCCACTATCCAAAGGAAGCCTTAATTTTATTGTTTTTTGGTACTGGGGATCGAACTTGGGTTCTTCTGCTTGCAAGGCAGGTGCTGGAACTATTCAGCTAAATCCCCAGCCCTGGGAAGCCTTAATTTTATCAGACATAATTTTTGAATAGCCAGACTTAGCACCAGCTAAAGTGAAGCATTCATTAAAAAATATATTTTGTACAAATGTAGACTTCTTTTTATATCTCTAGATATGAAACTCTAAGAACTAAGCCACTGACTTTTGAGTATTGACCAAGGATAAACTATCTCAATATTTGTGTTTTGATTCATGCAAATAACTTTAGACAAACTACATTTTCATCTCTCTTTCATTCTTTTTCTTATTGTTTTAAAATTTCTACTTATTTCACCCAAACAAGGACTTTTGTGCAGTCAGTGTTTTAATGCTGGAAACAGATTTCCTACCTTGATGAATGAGCCCTGCCAGAGCTTATATACTTTGATGCCCCAGCATCTCATGGAGTAATAATGAGAACTGCTGCTTCCTAATAGGTATTGCTGTTAACTCTAGTGAGAAAAAAGGGGTTTTACAAGATGATTTATTGAGTACACAACACGATTCCCAAACTGATTTGCTAGCTGACAAGTAACAAGTTGATATTAAACTTACATAAATGGAAAGTTAATATAGGAAACTGATTTTTTAAAATATTTCTCTACTGACATACCTAAAATGAAAAGATCTAAGTCCTATCTTAATGGATTGCGGGCTTGAAAATCAACTGCACCCAATATGAGTAGCTGCATACCTGAAGTTTGTGATGTCTCATAGATAACCTTGAAGGAATAATTATCTTCAGGCTTATCCAATTCCTTGCCTTGATTTCTCATCTCAACAGACTCGAAAGTTGTGTTCTTATACCTGTGATAATGATTTTTTTTTATCAGAATACAACATAAAATGCCATGTACTCATCTGTTAAATGTCTTGAACAACACCCAGCTCTAGAAATAGGATCAATTCTGATTATACTATACATAGACAAAAAAAGATATTTTCTTTTCTCTTTATAGTATGGAACTAAAATATGTGAAAGTGACCACTGCATTGTGTGTGTATGTGTCCCACTTTATTCTGGCAATACCACAGTGTATTGGGGTGATGTATTCTTTGTATATATATATATGCTGAGATACCAAAAGGGGAAACAATTTTTCTTAAAGCCACATCTATTGAATTTGAAATTAAAACAAGGTCAGTCTAACTTTATAACTGATATTCTTTCCATTGTTTTAACACAAGTATCAAAATTTTTATTTATCATTCTCATTATAATTTACATTTTGCTAAGAAAATACACACATTAAAATCCTTTTTGGAAAAAATAATTTTTTTCTTTTGATCTCTCTGAAATTTAATAAAAGAAAAAAGAAAATGAAGCACCTATTTCTTGCACCAAGAAAAGGATATGAAACCCTTTAAATTATACTCTGTGTAACAAAGCCATGAGAGAGTTCTGAGGACATGAAGGTCTAATGACTGTGCTCCATGCTACTTTCTTGAACTTTTGTATCCAAAGTTTCTGTGGACAAAATACCCTGATTAACTTAAAATATGTCACTGTGGAATCACCGACCACAAATATAATCTTCATTTTTCAGAAGAAACCCTAAATGCCCAAAGTGCAGGGAATTATCTGAGTTTATACAGACAGAGGGATCTCTGAGATTGGGATTTGTGCTTCTTGATTCTTTAAACAGAGTTCTCTGCACTTTACCAAGCTGCAGCTTTTCTGATATTTGACTAGCTTTGGAAACTGCAGACTCTAAGGGCTGTGAATCTAAGTGCTTGCACATTTGGCTTTTCCTTTGTACATTTTATAATAGCTCAGTGGCTGTGGAGAAGGTAATCTACTTCTCAGTGTGCATGTTCTTTTACTACAGGCGATAATCTACTGAATTCTGGAGTTCCCATAACATAAGCAACTCCCTTTGTGACTTTCAAATGCTGTAGGTTTGTAATGGTGCTTGGCACTTTAATAATTAGTCTACAGGGAGCTTTAATAGAGCAGGGCAACTGTTTTAATTAACTTAATCCCCAGAACATGAGTTGACCATTAGACATCAAATCACAGTTTAGCTCTAAGAGTATTTGAACTCTGAGGAAATCACATTTGTAACTACAGTGGGGATAACATTATCTTCTGTTATAAAACAATGCAGCTGCAGCCAATTTGGCTTCACTAGCCTCTGACACTGTGGTAAATGAAAGCCATTATTTCCATTGGAATGAATGTATAATAGAAACGGCTCAAGAGTTTGGCTTTGGGTTGTGTAGAAATGATTGTGCTGGCCTAATTCATGAGGAGCAAAGACAAATAGAAAGGAATAGGCATTTAAAAACTTTCGGACTATCTCTTCTCAGTTGAGTAAAGAAACACATCTGCAAAACC